AAAAAAAAAAGAAAAACCTTACCTTATCAACACACCAGTCTTTTTTTTAGTTGGAGGAGGAGGGTGGGTGGGAGACACTACACGTGTCATTTCTCAGGTTTAGCCACTGCCCAAATATATCAGTTCAGTCACTTCCCAGAGCGCAATTCAAGCTCTCCCTCTCAGCTCCGCTGTCGAAAAGAAGGACTTACCGTCCCGGTAGCCCCCTGGTCCTCACTGTCACTGCTCCCACTGCTGCTCTGAAAATGGAGCTGCGAATATAGGTGCAATGACCACCCCCTTAGTCTGTAGGAAGTGGGAGGAGTTGAAGGAGAAGTTGTTGAGTGTAAGGACGAGTTTGGTTAAGCGGATGAGGATGTCGGAGGGGGACTGGTTGGGCCTGCGGGACAGGAAGAAACGGAGGGTTTTGAGGCCGTCTGCGTGGGGGATATGGGTGTACAGGGACTGGATATCCACGGTGAAGATGAGGTGTTGGGGGGCCAGGGAATTGAAAGTCTTGGAGGAGGTGAAAGGTGTAGATGGTGTCCTGAATGAAGGTGGGGAGAATGTGGGCAGGAAATGCTACACCTTTTCCTAGCACCTTCATCCGAGGCCCAAGACCAACTTTCCATATCCAACAGGGGCTCACCTGTCCATCCTCCAACCTGGTCTACTGTATCTGTTTTTCCCAATGTGGTCTCCTCTATATCGATGAGACCAAGTGCAGATTTGGTGACAGATTTGTGGAGCATATGCACTGTATATGCTATAATCAACAAAACCTTCCAGTTGCCAACCATTTTAACTCCCCCTCCCCTTACCACTCCCTTGGTGACATGCCCATTCTGGGCTTCCTCCAGTGTCACAATGACGCCACACGCAAAATGGAGGAACAACACCTCATGTTCCACCTTGGGAGCCTACAGCTTGATGGCCTCAATATAGAATTCACCAGTTTCAAAACCATCCCACCCCCAGCCTCATCCCATGTCAAACTCTTCATCCCAACCCGGTCTCCTTGACCTGACACAACCCGCCCATCTTCTCTCCCACCTATCCGCCCACCCTTCACACTGACCGATTCCCACTACTCCCTACCTGCATCCACCTATCACCATCTCACCTACCTTCCCCTAGCCCTAGCCCCGCCCTATATTTATTTCCCAGCTCCCTTCCCCTCCCTAGTCCTGATGAAGGGTGTAAACCCGAAATGTTGACTTTCCTGCTCCTCTGATGTTGCCTCACCTGCTGTGTTCCTCCAGCTCCACACTGTATTGACTAAGCAGTACATCTCTGCTCTTGTATTCTTGCCCTCTTGAAATGAATGCTAACATTGCATTTGATTTCCTAACTGCCAACTGAACCTGCATGTTAATCTTAAGAGAATCCTGCACTAGGACTCCTAAGTCCCTTTGTACTTCAGATTTCCGAAGCCTCTTTAGAAATTAGTCCACGACTCTATTCTTCCTCCCAACATGCATAACCTCACACTTTCCAACATTGTATTCCATCTGCTACTTCTTTACCCACTCTCCTAGCCTGTCCAAGTCCTTCTGCAGCCTCCCCACTTCCTCAACACTATCTGTTCCTCTACCTATCTTTGTGCCATCTGCAAACTTAGCAACAACGCCTTCAGTTCCTTTATCCAGATCATTCATGTATCACGTGAATAGTTGTGATTCCAACACTGATGCCTGTGAAACTCAACTAGCCACCGTCTGCCATCCTGAGAAAGACCCCTTTATCCCCACTCTCTACCTTCTGCCCGTCAGCCAATCCTCTATCCATGCCAGTATCTTGCCTCGAGCACCATGGGCTCTTATTTTATTTAGCAGCCTCCTGTGTGGCACCTTCTCAAAGGCCTTCTGAAAATCCAAACAGAAAATGTCCACTGACTCTCCTTTGTCTAATTTACTCATTATCTCCTGAAAGAATTCTAACAGATTTGTCATGCATGACCTCACCTTGACAAAGCCATGCTAACTCAGCCCTATTTTACCTTTCACTTTCAAGTACTCTGTGATCTCATCCTTAATAATGGATTCTGAAATTTTACCAATGACTGAGGTCAGACTACCTGGCCAGTGGTTTCCTATTTTCTGCCTTCTCGAACAGGGGTATTATATTAGCTATTATATTAGCCACCACGTCGTGGGCCGAAGGGCCTGTACTGTGCTGTACTGTTCTATGTTCTATGATTGTAATACCGTTACATCTGATTCCAGCTTCCCTCCTTCAAACTGCAGGGTGAATTCTATTGTATTATGGTCACTGTCCCCAAGGGGTTCCACTCTCATAAAATCCCTACAGTGTGGAAGCAGGCCATTCAGCCCATCAAGTCCACACTGATGCTCCAAAGAGCACCTCACCCAGACCCACCCCCTTCCCTATCTCACCGTAGACACTTTAGCATGGCCAATCCACCCTAACCTGCACATTTTTGAACTGTGGGAGGAAACTGGAGCACCCGGAGGAAACCCATGCAGACATGGGGAGAATGTGCAAACTCCACACAGACAGTCGCCCGAGGGTGGAATTGAACCTGGGTCCCTGGTGCTGTTTGGCAGCAATGCTAACCACTGAGCTACTGTGCCACCCAGTATTCCAGCACCTTCCCTGACTCCAGTGATTCCTGACAGATCACCACTATTGCTGTTACAATCTCCTTAGCTATCTCCTTCAGAACTCTGGGCTGCAGAGTCTGAGTGATTTATTCTCCTTCAGTCCTTTCAGCTCCTCCAGCACCTTCTCCTTAGTGATGGCCGTCACACCCACCTCTGCCCCCCTGCCTCTTTTGAAGTTCTGGTATGCTGCTGGTGTCTTCCAATTTGAAAGCTGAAGCAAAGTGCCTATTCAGTTCCTCCACGATTTCTTTGTTCCCCATTACTACTTCTCCGGCCTCATTATCCACTCTTGCCTCACTGTTACTTTTTAGATATAAAAAAGACTCTGGCACCTTCTTTTATATCACTTAGCTAGCTTACTGTCATATTTCATCTTATCACCCCCTTATTACTGTTCTAGTTATCATCTGATTTTTACAGGCTTTCCACTAATCGTCACCACATTGTATGCTGTTGTGCTGTCCTTGAATTCCCTTGTCAGCCACAGTTACTTTGCCCCCGACTTTGTATGTTCCTTCTTCCTTGGGGATGCATTTCTGCAGTGCCTCCCAAATTACTCCCAGAAACTCCTGCCATTGCTGCTCCACCATCTTCCCTGCTCGGGTCCCCTTTTAATTAAGAACATAGAACAGTGCAGTACGGTACAGGCCCTTCGGCCCATGATGTTGTGCTGACCTATTATCCAACTAAGATCAATCTACCCTGCATACCCTACATTTTACTCTCCCCCATGTGCCTATCCAAGAGTTGGTTAAAAGTCTCTAAAGTATCTGGCTCCACTACCACTGCTGGCAGCACATTCCACGCACCCACCACTCTCTGTGTGAAGCACCCACCTCTGACATCTCCCCTATACCTTCCTCCAATCACCTTAAAATTATGCCCCCTTGTAATAGTCATTTCCGCTCTGGGAAAAAAGCCTCTGACTATCCACTCTATCTATGCCTCTCATCATCTTGTACACCTCTATCAAGTCACCTCTCATCCTTCTTCGCTCCAATGAAAAAAGCCCTAGCTCCCTCAACCATTCCTCATAGGACCTGCCCTCCATTCCAGGCAACATCCTGGTAAATCTCCTGTACACCCTCTCTAAAGCTTCCACATCTTTCCTATAATGAGGTGACCGGAACTGAACACAATATTCCAAGTGTGGTCTAACCAGGGTTTTGTAGAGCTGCAGCATCACCTCATGGCTCTTAAGCTCAATTCCCTGCCAATGAAAGCCAGTACACCATACGCCTTCTTTACAACCCTATCAACTTGGGTAGCAACTTTGAGGGATCTATGGACCTGGACCCCAAGATCCCTCTGTTCCTCCACACTGCCGAGAATCCTGCCATTAACCCTGTATTCTGCATTCAAATTTGACCTTCCAAAATGAATCATTTCACATTTTTCTGGTCATCTCCTCCCTCATGTCTTTGTAGTTATCTTCATTTGATTATAGGTCGGCACAACATCGTTCTATGTTCTATGTTCTATGATTGTAATAATGTTACATCTGATTCCAGCTTCCCTCCCTCAAACTGCAGGGTGAATTCTATCATATTATGGTCACTGTCCCCAGGGGGTTCCTTCACCCTGAGCTCCCTAATCAGATCTGCCTCATTACACATCTCTAAATCCAGAACTGCCTGTTTTCTAGTGGGATCTACCACAAGAAGCTCCAAAAAACCATCTTGTATACATTCCACAAACTCCTTTCCTGGGGCTCCACTACCAACCTGATTTTCCCAGTCTCCCTGAATATTGATAATTGGAATAGAACCTTTCTTACATGCCTGAACTATCTCTTGATTTATTTTCTTTCCACATCCTGACTACTGCTCGGAGGCCTGTACAGAGTTCCCATCAGGGTCTTTGTTCCTTTGCAATTCCCCAATTCTATACCTTCCAACTCTATATCGCTCTTGCTTTCGTTTCAATGTTATTTAGAATTGTACAATCCCTACAGTGTGGAAGCAGGCCATTTGGCCTATTGAGGCCATACTACCTTCCAAAGAGCGTCACTTCCAGACTTGCCTCCCTACTCTATTCCTGTAACCCTGCTTTTCTCATGGCTAATCCACCTAGACTGCACATCCCTGCATGGTATGGACAATTTAGCATGGCCAATCCACCCCAACCTACACACCTCTGGACTGTGAGAGGAAACCACAGCATCCAGAGGAAACCCACATAGACACAGGGAGAACATGCAGACTCCACACAGAGAGTTGCCCGAGGTTGAAATCAAACCCAGGTCCCTGATGCTGTGAAGCAGCAGTGCAAACTACTGAGCAACTGTGCCGTTCTTAACAAGAAGGCAACCCCATTCCCACTGCCTGGTCTTTCGATAGGATGTGTATTCCCTGTATATTCAGTTGAGAACAATGGAGTTCCTGCCTTGTTTTGCAGGCAGGCTTTGAATGGGAAGAAGATTGTGAGCGGTGCTGGTGCCTGAATGGAAGGAAGGTCTGTTCCTCTGGATGTCCACCACTTACCTGCCTGGAGGTGAGAAATCCTCTTATTGTTTACTCAGCTTCTCTTTTCCCTCAATGCCTTAGGAGGACTCACCATCACCCGGGGCTGCTCTCAATTTCACAGTCAATCCTTCACTCACCTTTATGTCATTGGATAGATCCTTGATTATCAAGGGAATCAAGAGTTACGGGGAGAAAGCAGGAGAATGGGGTTGAGGAACTTATCAGCCGTGATTTACTAGTGGAGCAGATTCGATGGGCCGAAGGGCCTAATTTCTGCTCCTATGTCTTTTGGTCTTATGGTCTTATGGTCTTATGATCATATCCTGTACAAGCTTGAGCCTCACAGCAGGTTTTATCAACAAATAAAAAAACAAAACTTGATTTATTAGAACAAACATATCTGCTAACATGTGGCAAAGTGGATTATTAATTACTGAAACAACCCTAAATTAAACCTTAAATCCCCTTTTAAATCCAAAATCTCACATTCATTGACACCGGATGGACAGACAGACTAGACAAACATTCTTATCAGGAGTATTAGCAAAAACTTTGCGAAAAGGAGGAACTCCAGACCTCTTTGTGTTTTATTGCTTTCCTAATTAAAATGAGAGAGAGCAATTTCAGTTTGGCTGGATGGTTGACAGTGAGGAAGAAGGCGTTAGGTTAGAGGAGGATATAAACCGATTGATCAGGTGGGCAGATCAGTGACAGATGGAATTTAACCCTGATAAATGTGAGGGATGCAGTTTGGAAGAAGAAACAAGACAAGGGGATAATCAATGAATGGCAGGATCTTGGGGTCCTTGTCCACGGGTCCCTGAAGATGGTAGGGCAGTTTGATAGTGTTGTTAAGAAGGCACATGGGATTTCAAGCCATTTTCCATTCTTTGGAAATATCTCACAATTCCTTCAGTGTCGCTGGGTCAAAATCTTGGAATTCCCTTCCTAATGGCACGTTGGGTCAACCTACAATACATGGATCACAGCGGCTCAAGAAGGCAGCTCACCACCACCTTCTCAAGGGCAACTAGGGATGGGCAAGAAATGCTGGGCCCAGGCAGTGATGTTCAGTTTATTTTTATTCACTTGTGAGACGTATGATTGAATGAAAAAAAAAACAGGAGTACTGTATAAAAACTGAAAAAACTGCGGATGCTGTAAATCTGAAACAAAATAGCTGTTGCTGGAAAATCTCAGTAGTTCTGGCAGCATCTGTGAAGAGAAATCAGAGTTAATGCTTTGGGTCCTATGACCCTTCCTCAGAAACCCCTTCTTTGTTCAGGACCCGAAACGTTAATTCTGATTTCTCTTCACAGATGCTGCCAGACCTGCTGAGCTTTTCCAGCAACTTCTGTTTTTGTAACAAGAGTACTCTATTGGATTTATTTTAGGAAGCATTTAAATATGTTGACAGCAGTTCATGCGCTGTATTATGAGGAAATATTGAACAGGCTGTACTTGTGTCCACGAAGAGAATCTTTAATGTCTTAACAGAGTATGTGCATAAACTTAGAAACATAGAAATTAGGAGGCTAGAATCTGCTTGCTCCATTATCTGTTGTCCATGGAAGAACTTGAAACCAAATAACACAGTTTGAACATAACAGGACAATTGCATTATTTTAAGATTGTTCCAGCAAAGAACCACCATTGAAATGATGGGCTGAATGTCCAGTCACTGACGAACTTGTGCATCTCTTTATTGTATGTTTTAAAAGTTGTTTGTTTTACATTATGTGTGTTTCAAGTGCAAAATTAATTTTTTCATGAATTGCAGGGTTATGTAAAAGTTGAGGATCCTGGAAAATGCTGTCCTATCTGCAGGAAGGAAATTCTTGGTAAGTGAAGATAGCCCAGATCAGACTGTGTGATTCTCTTCCTATTGCTATCAATTTCTCAGTCTAAAGGTTTTGTCAGTGTAAAGAAGAGATGACATTTTAGGTCAGATAATGCATGTTAGGCGAGAGGCCTTGTTTAGAATCTGTTTGAGTTTTGGTTTGGAGTCAGACTGTTTTTATTTCTAAAGTAGGAATTCTTTATAGTGATAAAACCTTTGTTCTCTCAGGGCAGTGACTTGTAAGGAATTTGGTGATTTACATCTACATATTAATCAATTAAAACCTTCTAACTGATTAAAGATTTAACAGCATCTTAGGTTTGTTTAATACATCCTCATCATTGATGTGACCCTTTGATCTTTTACTTATAAATTCTGTGTCTGATACTACCTCTCTCACTAACACCTGAAGAAGGAGCAAGGCCCCAAAAGCTTGTGTTCTCAAATAAGCCAATGGACTATAACCTGGTGTCATGTGATTTCTGACCTTGTCCACCCCAGTTCAACACTGGCACCTCCACATCAAGTCTCCTAAGAATATTGTTTGTTTCAATAAGATTGCCTCTTATTCTTTTAAACTCCAGTGAGTGCAGGCCCAATCTGCTCAATCTCTCCTCATAAGACAGTGGCTGTTCACCTGAAAACGGCCTCCATTGCCAGTATACTTTTCCTTCAATAAGGGGCTCAAAACTGTTAGAGTCATATCCAGCACATAGGTAAATGGTTGTAGTTGGAGATCAATTATCTCAGCTCCAGGACATCTCTGCAGGAGTTCCTTAGCGTGCTTAGAGAAGCTCAAATTAATCAATGCCGAGTCAACATAGTTTCCTGAAAGGAACATCATTTCACCAGTGTTTTGGCCTTTGTTGAAGTAGTAATGCATACTGTGGGCTAGAGGGAACCGGGTGATTTACTTTACCTTGATTTCCTGAAGACATTTGATAAGGTGCTATATAAAATGTTCTTGCAGATTTACATGAATGCAAAAGTCAGAAATTATGTTGGAGTTATACAGGGCATTAGTGAAACCATATCAGGTAGATTCCTAACAGGTCAGAGGCTAGGAATTTTTTTTTAAATTCATTTGTGGGATGTGGGCGTCGTTGGCTGGGCCCAGCATTTATTACCTGTCCCTAGTTGTCCCTTGAGAAGGTAGTGTTGAGCTGTTTTCTTGAACTGCTACAGTCCATGTGCTGTGGGTTTACCCACAATGCTATTAGGGTGGGAATTCCAGGATTTTGACCCAGCGACAGTGAAGGAACGAAGATATATTTCCAAGTCAGAATGATGACGGGTCAGAGGGGAACTTGCAGTTGTGGTATTCCATGTATTTGCTGCCCTTGTCCTTCTAGATGGAAGTGTTTGTGGGTTTGGAAAGTGCTGATAAGGATCTTTGGTAAATTTCTGCAGTACATCTTGTAGATAGTACACACTGCTGCTACTGAGCGTCGGTGGTGGAGGGAGTGGAATCTTGTGGATGTGGTGCCAATCAAGCCACTTCCATCTAGAAGGACAAGGGCAGTAGATACATGGGAACATCACCCCCTCCACCTTCATGAACGTGTATCTGGTTTTCCCTCATCTGCTCGAGTATCCACGATCTTCAGGTACGGCAGACCTCATTTCTGACTTAATTGTTTGAAAGATTTTCCTGCACATTGGTTTGTTTATGAATGGACCAGGTATGACTGTCTCAGACTGTGGCCAAGCTCAGAATTACCCGTACCAGGTCTTGCCAAGTTCTAAATCCTCTGCCCTGGATCCTTGTCCCTTTTTCCAACATTTTCTTAAGCTGAGAAATTAAAGCCTTAACCTTTGGCCTACTGTTGCCATATCAATTAGATTAACAACTGAGTAGTGTTCTCAACACTCATACAACAAAGACATCATTGAGCAGCCTGGACTTGGGAATGCAGCCATTAGTCACTGTCTCTTACTAACCCAAGCCTCCTGTTTTATCAGTTGTTTTACCCAAGCTGTAGACAGTGCTTGGGTCTGAACTGAACACTACTCAAGCAAACCATAGATTAATAGAGATTTACAGAACAGAAAAGGATTTATCCCTTGTTGCCTTCTTGAATAAGATTGAAGATGTTTAGAACATTGGGTACCAGCTCCTGGTCTGCAATATAATTTACAAGTTAACTATCTATTTCCAGCTCTGGTCCTGGGCTTAAACTGGACAAGTTAATTTTCATTGCTTGCTGTTGTTGTTAGCACCACTGTGTAAAGTTCATTGTTCTGTGGGCATATCCCATGCTCTCCCATGAACATCCCCTGTGCTGCTGACCTTACCTTGGGTACTTTAATGTGCACCCAACCCTAGTGCCAGTGTCAAAATGTTTCTGCCTAGTTGTGGGCAGATGTGGTGGCAATGTAGACAAGATGCACACAGTTACATCTGAACATCATCAGAACTGCAAGCATAAAACAGTAACTTCACTGTTCATTCCTCTTTCTACATGTTCGACAAGAATAGTTCCAGCATTAAGAAACTTCAGTGATGAGGACAGATTGAAGTTGGGACTGTTCTCCTTGGAGAGAAGAAGGTTGAGAGAGATCTGATAGCAGAGAGTGGATAGAGTTGATAGGGAGAAGCTGTTCTTGCTCGTAAAAGGAGAAAAGAACGAGACGGTGTAGATCTAAAGTGGTGTGTAAATGAAACAAGGGTAATGCAAAAAAAAAGCTTTTTCAAAGAGCGAGTCATGAGGGTGTGGAAGGTACTATCTGGAAATGTGGGGGAGGTGGGTTTAATTGAGGCATTCAAGAAGGCAACAGATCATTCTTCAAATCAAAATGGTGTGCAGGGGTATGAGAAGGTGGGAGGTTCACCCAAAAGAATGATCCTCATTTGAAAGGTACAGGCATGACACACTAAATGGCTCCTTTTGTTCTCTAACAATCCAGTGATAGGCTTCAACTTTCTGAAGAGGCTGGGTTTGGAAGCCCAGCCAGAAACATGGAGCCCAATCATTACAAAAGAAAGTGGGAATGAACTGTTGGTGCAAGAGGATTGTGTCCCTGATTGTGTAATGTTTTCCTTCTGCTAGATGTCTCTCCAAAGTGCCAACATTTCACCGAAATTCGGAACATATCCAAAGGCCAATGCCATCTGACAAATGTGGCAGTCAGCTCTTGCAGGGGAAGCTGTCTATCCCAAGTTCATGTCATTCCAGAGGTAAGCATTGAAGCTCACAGGTTTACTGAATGTAAAGAATTTGCAAATAATCAAGTCTCCATCAGACAGTTCAATCAGACTGAATGCAGGCTAAGGAAAACACTGGTAGCAATTGCACCATGAAGACATGTTTAAGCACAAGCCCACCGTCATCTTGTTAAAACATTGTGCAACCTTCTCTATGGCTTTGGGAAAAGATTTTGATCAGTCAAGACCAGAGAGTCCTGGGGTAGGCTCATTTCTGCGGGATATATCTTGGTACTGAGGTTATTTATAGCATGTGTGTATAGGTGGGGAGAGAGAGAGAACATAGAACATAGAACAGTACAGCACAGCACAGTACAGGCCCTTTGGTCCACGATATCATGCCGGTCTATTATCCTGCTCTTAAGATTAAACTAACCTGCGTGCCCTACATTTTACTATCATCCATGTGCCTATCCAAGTGTCACTTAAATGTCCCTAATGTATCTGACTCCACTACCACTGCCGGCAGTGCATTCCACGCACCCACCACTCTTTGTGTAAAGAATCTACCTCTGATAACTCCCCTTCCTCCAATCACCTTCAAATTATGCCCACTTGTAATAGTCATTTCCGCCCTGGGAAAAAGTCTCTGGCTATTCACTCCATCTATGCCTCTCATCATCCTGTACACCTCTATCAAGTCCCCTCTCATCCTTCTTCGCTCCAATGAAAAAAGCCCTCGCTCCCTCCACTTTTCATCATAAGACTTGCCCTCCAGTCCAGGCAACATCCTGATAAATCTCCTCTGCACCCTCTCTAAAGCTTCCACATCCTTCCTATAATGAGGCAACCAGACCTGAACCCAATATTCCATGTGTGGTCTAACCAGGGTTTTATAGAGCTACAGCATAACCTATGGACATGGACCCCAAGATTCCCCTGTTCCTCCACCTGCCAACAATCCTGCCACTAACCCTGTATTCTGCATTCAAATTCGACCTTCCAAAATGAATCACTTCACACTTTTCTGGGTTGAATTCCATCTGCCACTTCTTTGCCCAGCTCTGCATCCTGTCAATGCCCCGTTGCAACCTACATCAGCCCTCCACACTGTCCACAACTCCACCAACCTCCATGTCATCAGCAAATTTACTAACCCACCCTTCCACTTGCTCATCCAAGTCATTTATAAAGATCACAGACAGCAGAGGTCCCAGAACAGATCCCTGCGGAACACCACTGGTCACCGAGCTCCAGGCTGAATACTTTCCATCTACTACCACCCTCTGGCTTCTATTGGACAGCCAGTTCTGTATCCAGACAGCCAAATTTCCCTGAATCCCATGTCTCCTTACTTTCTGAATGAGCCTACCATGGGGAGCCTTATCAAATGCCTTGCTAAAATCCATATACACCACATCCACTGCTTGACCTTCATCAATGTGCTTTGTTACATCCTCAAAGAATTCAATAACGCTTGTGAGGCATGACCTGCCCCTCTCAAAGCCATGTAACTATTTCTAATCAAACTGTGCTTTTCCAAATAATCATAAATACTACGTCTCAGAATCCCCTCCAATAATTTGCCCACCACAGAAGTAAGACTGACTGTTCTATAATTCCCAGGACTATCCCTATTCCCTTTCTTGAAGTAGGGAATGACATTTGCCACCCTCCAATCATCTGGTATTACTCCAGAGGACAGTGAGGACGCAAAGATCATTGCCAAAGGGGCTGCCATCTCTTCCCTTGCTTCCCGTAGTAACCTTGTGTATATCCTGTCTGGCCCAGGGACTTATCTATCCCCATATTTTTACAGAATTTCTAGCACATCCTCCTTCCTAACATCAACCTGTTTGAGCATATCTGCCTGTTTCATGCTGTCCTCACAAAAGTCAAGGTCAGACGTTTGTATGAGAGTGAGACAGTGAATGATTGCAATTGTGTGTGTCTTTGTCTGTGTCTGTGTCTGTGTGAGTGAGTGTATAGTGAGGTGGGGTCACTGGTTCATGCAGATAATGGTGCTCACTCAGCTAGTTCCAATTGCCTACATTTGGTCCATTTCCCACTAAACCCTTCTCATGCATGTACCTATCCAAATGTTTTTTAAATATTGCTATTGTACCTGCCTCCACCACTTTCTCTGGCAGCCCATTCCACATACACATCACTCTCTGTGTGGAGACATTGCCCCTCAGGTCCTTCTTAAATCCTTCCCCTCTCACCTTAAACCTATTCCCTCTACTTTTCAATTCACCATCCCAGGGAAAAAAGACTGTATACATTCATCCTATCTATGCCCCTCAGGATTTTATACACCTCAATAAGGTCTCCCCTCGTTCTCCTACATTCCAAGGAATAAAGTCCTATCCTGGCCAACCTGTCCCTGTAACTCAGGCCTACTAGTCCTGGCAACATCCTTATAAATCTTCTTTGCACACTTTCCAGTTTAACTATATCTTTCCAGTTAATTATGTCCTTCCTACAACGGGGTGACCAAAACTGTACATGATACTCCAAGTGCGGCCTCACCAACAACTTATTCAGCTGTAACATAACATCCCAGCTGCTATACTCAGTGTTTCGTCTGATGAAGGCCAGCATGCTAAATGCCTTCTTCACCACCCTGTCTACCTGTGACGATGCTTTCAATGAACTATGTACTTCTACTCCTAGGTCCCTCTGTTCCACAACACTCCTCAGGACCTTACTATTTACTGTATAAGTCCTGCCTTACTTTGACTTTCCAAAGTGCAACACCTCACACTTATCTGTATTGAATTGCATTTGCCCATCCTCAGCCCACTTCCCCATCTGATCAAGATCCTAACTTTGAATCATCCAGAAACTTACTAATCATGCCTTGTACATTCACATCCAGATCATTTATGTAAGTAAAACAAATAACAAAGGTCCCAGCACTAACCGCTGTGGCACACCACTAGTCACAGGCCTCCAGTCTGAGAAACAACCTTCAACCATCACCCTCTGCGTCCTACCGTTGAACCAGTTTTGAATCCAATTAGCTAGATCTCCCTGGATCCCATGCGACCTAACCTTCATGACTAGTCTGCTATGTGAACCTTGTCAAAGACTTACTAAAGTCCATATAGACAGCATCCATCACCTTACCCTCACCTATCCTCTTGGTTACCTGTACGGAAAGCTCTAAAAGATTTGCCAGACATTACATGCTGTGCACAAATCCATGCTGACTGTCCCTTATCAGACCTTGACTATCCAAATGTTGGTTGATCCTGTCCCTCAGTATCCTTTCCAATAACTTGGCTTGGTTAGATAGGCAGAGCAGTGGCAGATGATATTTAATCCTGATAAGTGTGAGGTGATTCACTTTGGAAGAAGAAACAAGATGAGGGAGTATTTAATGAATGACCAAACACTGGGTAGCTTACAGGAACAGAGGGATCTTGGGCTAATTATTCAAAAATCCCCGAAGTCAGCAGAGTAATTGAGTAGCCGAGATAAGAAATCAGAAGTCACACGACATCAGGTTATAGTCCAGCAGGTTTATTTGAAATCACAAACTTTTGGAGCACTACTCCTCTGTCAGGTGAAATCACTCCTTCACCTGATGAAGGAGCAGCATTCCGGAAGCATGTGATTTCAAACCTGTCAGACTATAACCTGGTGTCATATTACTTCTGACTTTGTCCATTCCAATCCAACTTTGGCACCTCTACTTCATCAGTCATGGCATAGAGTATAGAGCAAGGCAGTAAAGTTAGAGTTGTACAGAGCATTGTTCAGGCCCCAGATGGAGTACTGTGTGTACTTCTGCTCACCTCACTACAGGAAGGATGTGATAGCACGAGAGGTGGTACAGAGGAGGTTCACTGGGATGTTGCCTGGGATGGGGAAATTGAGGATAAGGAGAGACTAGATAGGCTCGGATTGTTTTACTGAGACCAGCGAAGACTGAGCGGGGTCATGATTGAGGTGTATAAGATAATGAGGGGTATGGACAGGGTGGATAGACAGCAGCTGTTCCCCTTGGTTGAGGGGTCAATCACAAGAGGGGCACAGTTTTAGGGTAAGGGCAGAAGATTCAGAGGGAATTGGGAAAAATCCTTTTCACTCTGCAGGTGGTGGGAGTCTGGAATATAGAACATAGAACATAGAACATTACAGCGCAGCACAGACCCTTCGGCCCTCGATGTTGCGCCGACCTGTGAAACCAATCTGAAGCCCATCTAACCGACACTATTCCATTATCATCCATGTGTTTATCCAATGACCATTTAAATGCCCTTAAAGTTGGCAAGTCTACTACTTTTGCAGGTAGGGCATTCCACGCCCTTACTACTCTCGGAGTAAAGAACCTACCTCCTGACATCTGTCCTATATCTATCACTCCTCAATTTAAAGCTATGTCCCCTCATGCTAGCCATCACCATCGGAGGAAAAAGGCTCCCACTGTCCACTCTATCTAATCCTCTGATCATCTTGTACGTCTCTATTAAGTCACCTCTTAACCTTCTTCTCTCTAATGAAAACAGCCTCAAGTCCCTCAGCCTTTCCTCATAAGACCTTCCCATCCATACCAGGCAACATCCTGGTAACTCTCCTCTGCAACCTTTCCAATGCTTCCACATCCTTCCTATAATGCGGCGACCAGAACTGTACGCAATACTCCACGTGCGGCTGCACCAGAGTTTTGTACAGCTGCAACATGACATCATGGCTCCGAAACTCAATCCCTCTAATAATAAAACCTAACACACCATACGCCTTCTTAACAATGCTATCAACCTGGGTGGCAACTTTCAGGGATGTATGCACATAGACACCAAGATCTCTCTGCTCATCCGCACTACCAAGAATCTTACCATTAGCCCAGTACTCTGTATTCCTGTTACTCCTTCCAAAGTGAATCACCTCACACTTTTCCGCATTAAACTCCATCTGCCACCTCTCAGCCCAGCTCTGCAGCTTATCTATGTCTCTCTGTAACCTGCAACATCCTTCCGCACTATCCACTACTCCACCGACTTTGGTGTCATCCGCAAATTTACTAACCCATCCTTCTACGTCCACATCCAGGTCATTTATAAAAATGACAAACAGCAGTGGCCCCAAAACAGATCCTTGAGGTACACCACTAGTAACTGAACTCCAGGATGAACATTTCCCATCAACCACCACCCTCTGTCTTCTTACAGCTAGCCAATTGCTGATCCAAACCGCTAAATCACCCTCAATCCCATGCCTCCGTATTTTCTGCAATAGCCTATCATGGGGAACCTTATCAAACGCTTTACTGAAATCCATATACACCACATCAACCGCTTTACCCTCATCCACCTGTTTGGTCACCTTCTCAAAGAACTCAATAAGGTTTGTGAGGCACGACCTACCCTTCACAAAAACGTGTTGACTATCCCTAATCAAATTATTCCTTTCCAGATGATTATAAATCCTATCTCTTATAATCCTTTCCAACACTTTACCCACAACTGAAGTAAGGCTCACTGGTCTATAATTACCAGGGTTGTCTCTACACCCCTTCTTGAGCAAGGGGACAACATTTGCTAGTCTCCAGTCTTCTGGCACTATTCCTGAAGACAATGACGATATAAAGATCAAAGCTAAAGGCTCTGCAATCTCCTCTCTAGCTTCCCAGAGAATCCTAAGATAAATCCCATCCAGCCCAGGGGACTTATCTATTTTCACACCTTCCAGAATTGCTAACACCTCCTCCTTATGAACCTCAATCCTATCTAGTCTAATAGCCTGTATCTCAGTATTCTCCTCCACAACATTGTCTTTTTCCTGTGTGAATACCGACGAAAAATGTTCATTTAGCGCCTCTCCTATCTCTTCGGACTCCATGCACAACTTCCCACTCCTGTCCTTGACCGGCCCTAATCTTACTCTAGTCATTCTTTTATTCCTGACATACCTATAGAAAGCTTTATGGTTTTCCTTGATCCTACCTGCTAAAGACTTCTCATGTCCCCTCCTGGCTCTTCTTAGCTCTCTCTTTAGGTCCTTCCTGGCTAAATTGTAACTCTCAAGTGCCCTAACTGAACCTTCACGCCTCATCTCTACATAAGCCTCCTTCTTCCTCTTGACAAGAGATTCAACTTCTTTAGTAAACCACAGTTCCCTCGCTCGACCACTTCCTCCCTGCCTGACAGGTACATACTTCTCAAGGACACGCAGTAGCTGTTCCTTGAACAAGCTCCACATTTCAATTGTGCCCAGCCCCTGCAATGTCCTTCTCCATCCTATGCATCCTCAATCTTGCCTAATCGCCTCATAATTACCTTTCCCCCAGCTATAACTCTTGCCCTGCGGTATATACCTATTCCTTTCCATCCTGAATTGTGGTCACTATCACCAAAGTGCTCACCTACCTCCAAATCTAACACCTGGCCTGGTTCATTACCCAGTACCAAATCCAATGTGGCCTCGCCTCTTGTTGGCCTATCTACATACTGTGTCAGGAAACCCTCCTGCACACATTGGACAAAACTGACCCATCTAAAGTACTCGAACTGTAGCGCTTCCAGTCAATATTTGGAAAGTTAAAGTCCCCCATAACAACTACCCTGTTACTTTCGCTCCTATCCAGAATCATCTT